CTCAAGATAAAGTAGTGTAGCCATTCTACCAACACATAAGAATAATCATAGCATCTATATTTATTATAGCTAAAAACTAGAAACAACCATTAAAATTCAAAGGACCATAAACCATAGAATTAAAATTAGGAAATTCAAACCTGAATCCTTTATGATACCATGTAGATGAGATTTTTTTTTATTTAACTACATTGTCAATTTTTGAATATTTTAGTGGATTTTTCAAAAATTTTTTTATATAACTGACATACACACTTGTTTGATGTATATAATGCACACATTGGTATTGTCATCATAAGAAAGTAAAGACAAAAGTTATTTCACCATTTTTTTTTTTTTTTTTTTGAGACAGAGTCTCACTCTTTTCCTTGCCCGGGCTAGAGTGCCATGGCGTCAGCCTAGCTCACAGCAACCTCAAACTCCTGGGCTCAAGCGATCCTCCTGCCTCAGCCTCCCGAGTAGCTGGGACTACAGGCATGCGCCACCATGCCCGGCTAATTTTTTCTATGTATTTTTAGTTGTCCAGCTAATTTCTTTCTAATTTTAGTAGAGACGGGGTCTCGCTCTTGTTCAGGCTGGTTTCGAACTCCTGAGCTCAAACAATCCGCCCACCTCGGCCTCCCAGAGAGCTAGGATTACAGGCGTGAGCCACCGCGCCCGGCCTTATTTCACCATTTTTTTGCACAGTACATGGATGGAGCTAATATTTTCACAAAGAAGAGAGGTGATTTATGACTTAAAAATGTGTATCCATTTTATAAATGTTTAGGAATTTTGAAATATTGATATTTATATTTTAGTTTTTTCAACAGAGTTTTTAAATTTCAAAACTGTTAAGCTAATTTTAAGTGAAGTAATTATTTTTATGTTCATAAAAATATTGGTAGCACAAATGGAGTAGAAATGTGTGTTCAAAACACTAACAGACGTACCAGAAAAATCAATTGTACAAAATCTTTACTTCTTCCCCTTATTTGCTACTCAAAGTGAAAGTCATTGATAGATTATTGCTACTTTCAGAAAACAAACTAATTTATTAGTTATAACTTAGAAAAATATAGAATTTTTCATATTTTTCAAGTTATAATAAAAGTTTATAAATAAACCCAAAAGAAAAGAGCATAATACAATGAACCCTCATGTTCCTATTAACCAACTTTGGTAACCATCAACTTTTCACCATTCTTCAGACAATTTTTAAATTTTTTTCCCCATTTATTTTTTATTGGTATTTACGCATGGAGTACAAAGTGCAAATTTGTTACACTGATATATTGCATTGTGTTAAAGTCAAGGCCTTCAGTGTGTACATCACTGAAGCCACACATATTCCAGACAATTATTTTTAAGGTCAATGTTTTATGAATCCTAAGAAAAACCTAAAGTCATTAATATTAGATTCAGAATCATTAAATATTTCTGGATCTTCAAAAGTTTCCATCTTCTCTACTCAGGGTGATATAGTTCAAATTTAGTGGACTATCCTTAGGGAAATGACTTTTTTTCTCTATTTTAATTATTTAAATTCTCTTCATTTTAAAATCAAAGTTAGAATATTAACCTGGAGGGAGAGCTCCAAAGGTATTGATTGCACTGGTCTCTGTCCAATTATTTTCTCAGTGGTCTAGAACAGCAGTCCCTAACCTTTTTGGCACCAGGGACTGGTTTTATGGAAGACAATTTTTCCATGGGCCAGGGTGGGGGATGGTTTCAGGATGATTCAAGTGCTTTACATTTATTGTATAGTCAAACCTCTCTGCTAATGATAATCTGTATTTGCAGTGCTAGCATGACTGCCTCAGCTCCACCTCAGATCATCAAGCATTAGATTCTCATAAAGAGTGCGCAACCTAGATCCCTCGCTTGTGCAATTTACAGTAGGGTTCACGCTCTCATGAGCATCTAATGCCGCTGCTGAACTGTCAGGAGGTGGAGCTCAGGCAGTGATGCCAGTGATGAGGAGTAGCTGTAAATACAGATGAAGCTTCACTCATTAGCCTGCGCTCACCTCCTGCTGTGCAGCCCGGTTCCTAACAGGCCACAGACTCATACCAGCACCCGTGGGTTTGGACCCTCAGGTCTAGAAGAGGTCGTAGAACTCCTGACATATGTAACAACATTGGTAAATCTTAAACATCATTATGTTAAGTAAAAGAAGCCACATATAAAGGGCTGCATACTGGATGCTTCCATTATTTATGATATTCTGAAAGGCAAAACCATAGGAGCAAAAATGAGATCAGTAGTTGCCATGAACTGGGGATGAAGGGAAGAGATTGAATGAAAAGGAGTATGATGGATGGAACTTTTTGGGGTGATGCTGTATATCTTGATGGTGATGGTGTTTACATGACTGTATACACTTAGCAAAATTCATCAAGCTGTACACTCAAGAATAGAGAATTTTACTGAATATAAATTATACCTCAATACCTCCCATAAATCTGATATGAATAACAAGAATACCATAGTGAGGTATAATGTGATGGACCAAGTTCCTTGACTGGAATAACATACTATTAATGAAGTTAAAACTGGTATTTGATTTAGGGCAACCATTTCACATTTTTGTTTTATATCAAGCCATTAAAACATCCTATACATATCCAGATTTTTAAAGAAAATGCAGTATTATATACTAATCCTTTAAAGGTTTCATCTAATATATTTAAATCTATCACATGAACTTGGCAAGATCTTTTGGAAACTGCATATTGCTACACAAAGTATCAGATACTCCATATAGCTTTGTGTTATCCAAAATTTAGTCAGCATGCTTTCTTTGTAGAAAAGATTGTTCCATGTAGAAAAATTATTTTGAATTTTTTTGTATGTTTTGTACAGGATTATATGGGACATGTGATCTGTATATAGTAACAGAACCTAAATAAATTAATGAAATATCTTTGTCCTTGGTAATTGATAAAATATCTCCGTCATTGTAAGTAAAGTTACCTATGTTCTAATGTTATAATTTAAGTTCTTTTTATTTGAAAGACACACTTTATTTATTTATTTATTTATTTTTTTTTTTGAGACAGAGTCTCACTCTTTTGCCTGGGCTAGAGTGCCGTAGTGTGATCTGTATATAGTAACAGAACCTAAATAAATTAATGAAATATCTTTGTCCTTGGTAATTGATAAAATATCTCCGTCATTGTAAGTAAAGTT